GGTTCCTAAGCAAACAAGGAACTTATTTAACTATTACAGAGTTCCGGGTAACAGATATTATGATAGGACGAGAAGCTATTTTTCCATGCGCGACTGTAAAACAGTGGCGTGATGTGACCAAAAACCTGTGAGCTCCTTTGCTTACCTAAATTCGTTTCGAAAGTGCCTTACAATTAGCGTGGCTCACGAAAGACTTATCTTCGTAATCATGATTTTGTAGTCTACGAGACTTCCTAAAATGTTCTAACACCTCACCCTCTTTGTATTCCACCGTCCCTATTTGATTCCAATGGCTGCTTGAAATCTGAATGTGTGGGCAATTTAGCCCAGCACCTGTTTTGTTTCAATGTATTTTTTCAATTTGTTTATTTTTATATTTTTTTTGCAATCTTTTATTTTTTTTCGCTGATTTTAGCGCCATTACTACGAGATGATTAGGAAACGCCATAACCAAGCATTTTTGACCAGTGAAACGTCTGGAGTGTAATAAAACCCCAGACGCACGCATTTATCACAGATGCAGGTAGATACCTCTACCCATACCACCTGCAAGAATCAGTTTTGCTTCCAAGCAACCAAAAACTTGCTCATCGCGATACGAGCCCAGAACTGAGGCTGAAATGTAGGCCATTTTTTTTGGCACTCCGACCACACCACTTCAAATCCCATCTTTTAATCTCCTTTTTCGCCTTTGAATGATTTCATAAACTTCACAATACAATTTTGTTATTTGTTGCCTGTGATAGATGGGTAGGTGTAAATAAATCTTTTTTGCCGGTCTTTTAACGATGGCAAATAGTGCTAGCAAACCTGAATTTATCAGTAGATCAGTCATGCATCCGAATAAGTCTTCACAGACTCACGTACCGTGTAAAGTTACTCACTCTTGCCCAGAGCACCAGATCTTGCGTAACTGTTTAGTAAGTAATCATCGAGGTGACCACTGATCAATATTTGAACTTACCCGGGCATGTGTAAAATCTCGCAGGATCGGGTGCCATAATTTAAAGTTTCGCAAACGAAATTCTTCTCGACACATCTTTCAAGGTGAACGTTAGCGATTAAAAGCTCCTAGTTCCTTGCCTCCAAATTGATACAAAGAAACAAACTAAAATAAGAGATTGTTTAGATAGAGAGAGTTTATCAATTATTTAAAATGTTTTTCATGAGCTATTTTTGTCCATTCAAGCAACCCTAGCAACTAGGCTAGAGTCACGCAAAATCTGACATTGTAAAAGAAAAACATATAAACACAAGAGCAAAACATTCGTGAAATCATGAATTTTTTAGGAAGCAAATCGGTTAAAGAGAAAAAAAAACCAAAACCAAACAAAAATCAGGGAATGTCCATTCTGGCCTGGCTGCTAAGCGGTAATTTATCCGCGCGTTCCTGGAGACGAACAAGATCTAAGATGGTGGGTTTTACACGTGTGTTTCGTTTTGATGTTTACGTTCGCGTATTTTGCTCTTTTAGCCAAACTAATTAGGGTCTTTTTATTGTTTATAAGCAGTTAAGGAGACAGGCAAGGCTCAGGAGAGAATACCTTTATCGAAAGTCCACCGAGGACAAGGAACGAGTGACTTATGAGAGAAAGAAAAAGTTGAAGACTGCTTTGGAAGGTAAGCGAAGGAAGCTTTTATTCGACGAGAAATGTACCATGCATAAGTTTCATTGAATATGAAGGTATTTCACGATCTATGATAGAAAGGAAAGTCTATATTCTTGTCTTAACTTTTATCGAAATCGCTGTCTTTGAAATGCAAGGTCTTCAGAGTATGGCAGAACTCAACCAAAACTAGTGCCTGCAATTGCAAAGGAAATTCTTCCGTGTGAAATGTATGAAAAGAGGGGATAAAATCACGCGGGCATCTGCCATACTCTGCAGACAAGCGAAGTGATGGTCTTAGTTCTTGGAACACCTACATGGAACACACACATGGTACACAATGCAAATATCCTGATTTTAGTTATTGTTTAACAAACAGATTTCCTGTTGTATTACGTCTGTTCAGTAACAAATCACAAATTTCAAAATGTGGTAAGAACAGTTCAGTAGTGCACTGGATGAAATACTACAGCCTTGGATATCATGGCTAATTAAAAAACAACCACCTGTGCATGCTTTTGATCTTGCACACAACAACAGTTTGTATTTTTATGATAATGACATCAAGAATGTTGGTGCTTAGTCGCATACTCTCATCTGAAGTTACTTTTAGCATAGAATGTCAAGTCATTCTTTATTTGCCTTTCCAGAGGGAAAGCCAATTCCAACAGAGTTGAGGAAGGATGAAGCTGCACTAAGAAAGGCCATTGAATTTGATGATAAGAAACATGAAGGTGAGAATACTGTTGTTGCTGTGATTTGTTTAAACAATAAGTGTTTTATTATTGTTTTTGTTGACAGGTTCTGTATAGCAAAAACAGAGAATAATAACGAATCAGTACATAAGCAACTGCACCCTTACCCCTCCCCTCCGCTAACCCAACCTTAACCCCAACTGGTCATCAGTTTTCTGTTGTTGGTTTGTGGGAGGGGTAGGTGTGTAGTTGCCCAGATGCTGACAGTGATCCACAAATCTTTTCAAAATATTGTTCTGTAATTTCACACACAATAATGAGATGTTAAGATTGACTGAAATGATCTAGTGTTTATGTCATTCACTTGTGACCAAACTTTTCATTAACATTTTAACTTTCAAGATCTGATTGTTAATTCTCCCTGCAGGCTGCTATCCATTCTTTTAAAATCAGGGATGAGAATTTGGTGTTAGATCAATATAACAACTACCTGATAAATTTGAGTATGTTTATTACCTGTTTTCTGGATAATGTATGAATCTCATGTATGGAGAAGTTACATGTTAATCACTTAAGGGGTGAAAGGGTTAAAGAATCTGCAGGTTTGACAAGGAGGGTTGAAGGAGGGGGTTTAGACATTCAGATCCTCCCTCTGAATCCTTTACTGTACTGACTGTTTACAAAAGGATAATATGGTAATCAGTTGTTTACTTGTGTATGTTTAGAGACTGGCTCTCACCAGGATGACGAATATGCCTGGGCGGGAGTGCGAGATCCCAAGATAATGATAACAACATCTCACAGCCCAAGCTCAAGGCTGAAACAGTTTGCTAAGGTATTAACTATGGTATTATTGAACAGACACGTGCAAGGTTTCCATAACACTTTGCAGAAATGGGTGCCAATGGTGCAAAACAAAGCTGTGTCGTAAGGGAAAATTCAAAGATAAGAATCTGCTCCCTGGCTAAACAGACAGCAGTGAGGGGTCTTACAGGTGGTGGAAGACTGCTGATGACTAGTTTTAGTTGAAACTGTAGCATGTGTATCCCTTGAATCTTGGTAGTTTGTGAACTCATTTGTGCTACATTTGTCAGGAAAATCAAGTGATTGAAACTCAGGACCGATAACTTGTTATGCTGGATTTCAAGTCATTTGAAATGGTTATAACTGTTGGATTTGCATTGAAAGTAAAACAAGTCAATTTGAAATTTTTGTTAATTTGTTAGCAGGATACAATCCCAAACTCAAAGAAAACAGATGAACTACCAAAATGATTTTCATTTTTCCATTGAAAAAGGTGCTATATAAAGGCAAACAATAAAAATACACATATCGTTTGGCTACTAAAACAGGTTTAAATTGAAGTGATTCTTTTAACAGAGTGGACAAGTGTAATTGACCCATCATGGCATGCACTATAAGTTAGATCTACTGATCATAAATTTTTATGGCTTAAACTGGTGTCTTATACCTCTTAACACCTATTTCTTTTACCCCACAGGAACTACGATTAATTTTTCCTAACAGTCAGCGATTGAATCGTGGTAACTATGTGATGAGTCAACTGATTCAGGCTTGTAGAGCTAATGAAGTTACAGACTTAATATTGGTTCATGAGCACAGAGGAGAACCAGGTATGCCTTGGAAAGTTTTCCCTTTTTATTGTAAAATGTTTCAAATTCTTTTGATGCAGGACCTGTCAAAGTGAAAATTAACATCTTTTCTTTTCTGAGTACTCATTCATTGGAGCTGGCTAGTGAATCAACTTGAGATATTTTTTAATGGTTCATTTTAACTTATTCTTTGAGTATTGTCAGTTAGCAGTATTCTTCAACCAGTACTGCAGATATTTGCTATTTAATTGCAAACTAGAATTTATTAACCCCTATTCACACAAGTATATGTTGATGCCTCGATGAGGCTAGCAAAGATACTGTTAAAACCCTGGCCTGGCATGGCTCTGTTTAAGAGCTTGGAACTGGTTATTTTAACCAGCTCTTCAAATAATTATTTTACCAGCTATTTCAAAGAAAATATATGCAGTTACAGAGCCAATTAACTAAAGGTAGTTTTGTTCAAACACAAAAATCCATTGTACCCCATAAGAAATCTCGCTACTCTTCTGCAAATCAATACAGCAAAGATACCTCTTTGGTGATATCAGCTTGAAAATACATCATGTCTTGAAGAAATCCTGCTTGACTTCAGTGGTCGATTCATCTCTTGATATGACAACATGCATGATCCATTACTTTTATTTATGTTCCTATCACAGCTAAACTAAAAATCACATCAGTTCGTGCAACCCCCACACCCTCAGCATGAAGGGCAGGTGACAAGATTATCTCTAAATTTATTATTTTTTTTACATCCTATGAAAAAAAATTGGTTAAAGCTTTGCTAAGATGGTGTCCTATCTGATGCTTTTGTCAGTTTTCATTGCTATTTTGCTGGATAATGTGTTAATATTGTGTGAAGAATTTGGATGTTAACAATTTTGCACCACATTCCTTTGCAGATGGTCTGGTTGTTTCCCATCTCCCATTTGGTCCCACGGCTTATTTCACCTTATCAAACACAGTCATGAGACATGATATTCCTAAAATTGGCACCATGTCAGAGGCATACCCGCATTTGATTTTTCATAACTTCAATTCGAAACTTGGAGAAAGGGTAAGTGTGGAAATAATCAGGGTCCAGTTGTTCGAAGGCTAACTAGCGCTAAGTCTGTGAGTAGAGGGAACCTACTGGCTAAAAAATAATTTTGCCCCCTGCACTTTGTGAATTGTGATGAAGGACAAGAAAAAAAAGTACCTTTGAACTGATTCCAACATAAACATCTGGCTGAAAAAAAGGACTGAAATATATCCCGGAAT